CAACTATATATTGTTTAGTAAGCTTATTATTTTAAGTTTTTAAGATAAAAGATTTTATTTTTTATCTTTTAATTATAAAACTTAGATTTATAATTTAATTAAAATAGTAATATTAATAATATTTAAATTTTATTTAATTAAAATAAATGTTTAAAAATATATATATATATATTTTAGAAAATTATTTATTATTTAAAGAATTTATCAAAAAGTATTATATTATATATTTTTTATTTATTTTTTAATATTATAATTATTTTTTTGGAAAACTTGTTTAGTTAAAAAATATTTTATGAACTTTTTTTTTTATTATCAATAATATTATTCAAATAAATATTTATAATTAATAAGAAATTTGTTATATTTTAAAAATCAATATATTTTATATTAATTAATTACTTTTTATAAAGATTATATTATTTAAAAAATTTAAAGTCAAATTGAAAAAACTATAAAAGTGTGAATTTTAAGAGGATATAGATAGTAAATAAAGAGAAAAATATACTTTTTATTACAAAAAATCTCTATACATAACTTGCTTCAAAAATAGAAAGATTTTTAGATATTTTTATGACTAGTTTTTTTTTTTTTTAAAAAATAAACTTACAGGGAAAAAAATTTTTTTTCTTAATTTTTATTGGATAAAGTATTTAAATCTGCTTAATGAATATAGTGTGAATGATGCGTGATAAAAAATTCAGTAAGATCATGTGTATATACTATATATGATTAACTCAATCGTAATTGGAAACTTCGGTCACGGTTATTGTTAAATCCGATGACAGCCTTATTGGATTCACTATGGTCGATTGACTTGCCCTACTCTGCGCTATTGAATTTAAACTTTCCGTGCTCGTAATCGAATGCATTCTTTCGTTATTTAATACCTCTGAATCTTCCTTTTCCTTTATTGTTGGATCTGAGCTTGAATTACTTTCTTTTAGTTCAAAATTCTTGATCACCCACGTATTTCGTGAATCCTTTTCATGCTCGCTATCGTTTTGTGTCGTCTTATTGTCATTACCATCGATGTTACAGGCTTCTTGAGTGGAGATTACATGGATAGTGTTCGTCGCGGCCATCGCAGGCATAGCGATTTTGGGGGATTGTAAGGAAATACCTTCGTTTATTATGTACTGAATTGCCTGACCAAAGCCTCCAATATGAATTCCTATATATAGTATATATATATATATATATTTTTTTTTTTTTTTTTTTTCTTAGCAACAAAAATGTTGAATAATGAGGGACGAGATTTACCTATAATTAGTATCATGTGACTTGCCAAATCATTTATCTGAAATTTATATTTGAGAAAGTTGTGATTATAAATTCGAAATGTCATAATGATAACGCAAACAACTCACCGAACACAAACGTAAAATCTGGAATATCGCTATTGGAATCCACTGGGAGAATCAATACACACACAAAGTTATTCAAAGTACGAAAGGCTATGAGAAACTTTACATTCACATATAACATTCGTACACACCTGTATCATAAACATAAAAATGTAACTCAGTATCTTTAGATAAACTCTTTTCTGAAGGTTTTCATAATACTTTTGTGAATCTTCGTTAGTGGTTATGATTGCAGATTTGGATTCTCGTTTGGTAGCCTTTGACACTTTTTTAAAAACAAAAGTGTAGCACACGAATACAGCGGACCAAAATATTATAATTATTATTAATGTTATGGATGGAGTCAATTTACTGCTGGAACTATCGGAGCACCTTCGTTTCAAGAAACGTCGAGAAGGAAATATGGATATGGTGAGTTAATAAGGAAAACGATTGACTTTATCCAGGCATATGTTAAACTCACCAAAATTTATTTTGGGAAAAATTCTTTGGTATAGCCGACATATAAATTACTACAAAGATTGTTGTTGTAACCCATAATCTATAATCCCATTTTCCAAAATTGACGTGAACCTCTCGACAAACATGTAAATACGTTGCTATGCTAAATATCAAGAACAAAGGAAAGAAGGGAAAGGGAGAAAAACCAAATAAGTCAAGTTACGAATAGTATATTATTTATGTATAGATTTTATTGCTTACCTTATGCATAAATACAATCCCACATTCATGAATCCAGAGGACCAGCCTACATAGCTTAATATGGTGCACATTTTAATTCCCCATACTTCTTTATATATTAAGGTGTGCATCTAGATAACATTAGAATCGTTTAATAATACTATTTAAAACAAATCACGCATATTACGATTGATACTTACAATGTTCATAGAAAAACTAATAACCACCACGGTATCTACAATTATTAGCAATTTTTATTCGCTATATGTATATGAGGCAAACAATGACTATGCGTAACAAGTTTGACCTAGAAAATTTTTTTTTTTACTTAACTCGTCAAACAACTGTAGAAAGGCAAACGCAATGTTATCGGAAGCACTCGGTTGGGACAAGTTCTCCAATGAATAAAAGATCGGTACAATATATAACAGCATCCGCTAGCATTCAGGATAATGATCGCCATCGTAGATCCCATTATAATTCTGAACTCTTTGGTATCTAGTGGGCTTGTTGAAGATGATGGTGATGGCGTCAAGGTTGATGTCGAAGACGGTGTTAAGGTAATATTTTCACTATCAGCATAGACTTTAGAAACATAAAGCGTTAACAAATATATTAAGATCATTTTTTTTTTCGTGAGTGAACAAGTTATAGCCAAGCTGTTCTTATAATGCATGAAAAAAGACTATTCGACTACTCCATTTTATACGGGCGGAACCTATGGACTCTTGAAATTCAGGGTCCACAGTTCGCGCTACACACGCTTACATGCGAAAACAAAATGGTCAAAAGTTCATTGAATCGAACAGACAAAACATTGTTATCGATTATGTAAGGAAAATGCAATGTTTTGTACCTTGTAGAAACGGAAAATTCACCTGCAGTATGGGATCTCTTTTATGCATACAATATATAATTTTTGAAACAACTGAGCTCCGGTATTTCGGCATGATATTTGTCAGATGCGTATAACAATTAATCTCGAGTTAGTTGAAAATTTTTTTCCGTAAATTTTTTTTGCATGTTACACGAAAAAAGTTTCAATTCTTAATGATCGCAATGTTTTTTGTGTACCAAATACAGAGGTAAATTGACTTGACGTGAAATTTTTAAAGGCCACCCCAATAAATTCTTATTGGTATCGAGGTGCTAATGTAAAGGAATCGTGTTTTTTTTTTCTTGATTATCTAATAGTTTTTGATTTCAATTTCTTAAGTTTAATAATATCTAGTATCTACTTTATATATTATACTGTACATACAGTAATTTGAACGGACAAAGTACACGTCGGGAATGGTTAGCACAGAGAGCACATTCGGGTCAAACCTTAGAATAACGACTGCCTAATAAATATAATTAAAGGATATTTTATTTAGCAAGTGTTATTCTTTAATATCAATCAGAATGGTTAAAGAAATGTAATCAATTGATCTAACTTGATTTTTTCTTATTTTACTATTCAATAATAATAATTATTATAAATACTGTATATTGAAATCCAGGTTTTAAATCTAATTTTTAGTGCTGAATAGATTAGCCAAATATTAACAAACTTTAATATGATATTTACGACAACCATATTGGAATTAAAGAAATACTGTAGTTGATCGGTATTTGGGATTGGCGCTAAATTGACTAGTTGCAATTATATAAGAATAACTCATAGAGTACTGATGTTATCAAATTCTAATAAATCACGTTTATATAAAATAAATTATTATCTTTTTTTAATCGCCAATAACTTTGGTTTCTCATAATATTTTTAAGATACAAAATTATATAAAAATATTTCAATCTTGGTTTCTCAATATTACTATAAAGAAAATATCAAGCATAAAAATAATTATAACAGTATAAATAATATAAATAAATAGTTAATAACAAGAGATTTAATAATGCACGAATAAATTCTTTTAAACAGAAACATTATAATTTTATACAATATAAAAATATATCAAAATAAATAGACTACTGTATTTATTTTATTTTAATTTATTTTAATTATTAATTATTAATTTTAAATTTCAATTTTTAAAAAAATAATAATAAATGAATTATTAAATACATATGCAGTAAATTAAAAAAATATATCAACAAATAATATATTAGATAAAATATAATTAATAATAAAAAGTCTTAAATACCAATTAAATTTTATTTTTATAAAATATATTTTAAATATAAATTTTTATATTATAAAAAAATTTTAATAATAAAACTTGAATTAATTAAATAAAATATAATATGAAAAAAATTTTTTAATTTTGAACTATTTAAATTTAAATTTTTATTTTTATTTTTTATATTATCAATCTATTCAATAATCTTCAAATCAAATAAATAAATAAACAAATAAAATATAATAGAAATTTATTTTGAAT